TTAACTTGAAACCTGCTTACTAACATCTGCGTTTCTAAGAAAAAACTAATGGATGGCTTAAATTCTAATAAACCTAAAATTATGTAAAAGTGTGAGGATTGTGGAATACAAAATGACGAGACATACAGGTGATAATTTAGCTGTATGGACTCACTGAATTGAGTTATTAATGAAAGAAATGATATCAACTTTTGTTTTTCATTCAATATCACCCGTTGAATTTATTTCTTTCAATTGTTCTTTACTGGAGCTCAAAATTTTGCCCTCTTAAATAACGTCTTTCGATTTTAGGAGTAGCATCCCTTGGAAAAGATGAAACTGAAGGTGAGGTATTCTCCAACTGGGACTTATAGAAAAAAATCACAATAATAAATTTTAATTCAAAATCACCTCGCATTGTAGTGACGCAAACTTATATTTGGGAAAGTAAAGTTTAAATGTTAAATAAATACCACAAATTAAAATAAAATATTTAGTAAAATTAAAATAAATCCATTAAACCAAATTAAATTAAATTTAAAAGACCTGTAAATTAATTATAAATAAAACATGTCATTTATGTCAATCTAGCTGTTATGCCGTCCTTAACCATCCTTTGCAATTAACACTAACCACTAATATTTCCTGATCTCTTTGATGCTGCATCTATAAATAATACTTGATATTGCATAATCACATAATCATGCCATACACCAAGGCACATTCCTTTGTACTTACCCAAAAGCGATGTACAATCTTTCTTGCCAGGACCTTGTGCTGCAAAGGATCATGAAGATTGCAATACCTACCCAATGTACGCATGTCACAATGAATGGTTGATAAGGAACTGCAAAAGAAAGTGTGGCTTATGTCAAGGTAATTGCAGGTCTACTTTAGTTAGATCTTTAGCTATTTTGAAAGGAAGTTAATTCTCCTAATGATGGATTTTCTTAGGCCGGCAGATTAAGCTAATCCAGAGTCAACATCGTCTTTGAGTTTCAAAGAAATCTTATGTGAATAGTAAAGGACTTTGCAATGCATTTTTTTTTTTAGCGCCAACCCAGGCCCCAATTAGTTTGGCTGCACCTACAGTCCCACCCTCCCATGGTAGGAAATTTCATTGTGTTGTTGTTTTTTACTTTTATTTGCATTTGCTTTGTTTACAGTTACTGTTGATTTACAGTTCCGTTGATGAACTGAAGGTCTCATCGAACAAAAAAGGGTATTATCAGAATCGGCTGAGGACTCTTAAAAACAAACAAATAAACAAACAAACAAATACACATGGAAAGACAAAAACAAACATTTCATAATGTTAAAAGTCAGTTTCTTTCCTTGTGCAAGCTTAACGCAACTTTTTTTTTCCAGCGGTCTAGACATTGTGAACTTTGCCTAGAAACACCCAGCGTTTTTGCTTTGAAACTTCATAGACGAAGCTCATTTCTCCGTTCTTCTTGTTTAACCGAATGTGCAAACGTCTTGCTAAGAAACGCAGTTATTTATTGCTTTTGATTATTTATTTGTGGTAAATTTGAAGCTGTAAACCCCACAGACTTTTGTTTTCGACATCACCCTGTATTTTAATATTCTTTAATTTGTTCCATTGATAGCCAATGAAACGAAGGTTTTGCTACCGCTAGGAAGAGCAAGTAAGTTGTAATTGTGCGCCTTCCTATGTATTAGATTTATTCACTTTGTTCAAATTCCAGTGTTTCATTTTCTGTTCAAATAAACTCGTTCTTGTCTTTGTAGTTGCGTAGGCAGCCTCCTCCTGCCTTTTCATGGGGCGGGGGGCGGGGGTGGAGGGGAGGGGGGTTCTTTGCTTACCATCAACTACGGAGAAGTGTAACGTCTCACTGATATTAAACGTACATGTAACAACTAGGACGTTGTACACACTGTCAAATTCAAATTCTTTTTGAAGTTCTTGCTTTATAATAACGAACTTGAATAGCATGCAGAGGACTACTCGTTTTCTAACGAAACAAAGAAAATATTTTCCTTGAAACGTTATTTTGTATGTGTTTGTTTGATTATTGTTTCGCATTTCTTTTTTAACTCCTTTCAGATTGTTACTATGACGGTATTTTACACGAGCACGGCGAACGCTGGTCTCCAGGCCCTTGCACGCCAGAATGCAAGTGTGATGATGGGAAAATCCGCTGTACATTGATCGAGTGTCCAGAACTAAGCTGCAGTAATCCCATAAAGAAGCGATGGAAGTGTTGTCCGGAATGCCCTGTAGAAGAAGGTAGAACAAATAGCGCTTATCGCGTATTGAACTACCTGCAGTACATTGTACCTGGTTCGGTGGGTCGGCAAAATCCCTGAAGGGTGACCTCGGTGATTTTCTCCGTAAATGTTACTAAGCAACGCCATGTTCCCATGGCGACAAACTGACGCAATAGCATGGAGCGCGTGCTATTTCTTATTGGAAAATGAGATTCGAGAACTTTTGTTTGGCACTTTCACTGAATGAGATGCCTTAGACTGGTATGTGATTGCACCAGAAATAGTTTAAAGGAGCTATGTCACAATTTCCCTGACTTGAAAAGTTTAGCCTAAATTTTCAAGTTCGTCGTTTGTAATCCGTGTCAATCTTCTCCATCCTTAACCATCCTTGTTCCTTTATCGTTTATTATTATTATTTTGGTGTTTTTCTATCTTAGTAAACTGCTATTATATTTCCAGGTTTCCTTCAACTAAAGGTAATGTTGTACAAGGCCAAAATTACTCATAATGCCATGACTGAGCTCCTTTAACAATCCCTTGATCACTTGTTCATCTCAACAATCACTGTCTTACGTCCACAGGTCTAAATGCACGCTGCGTAGAAACCGAAGGCGGAACAAGCAAAGGCGCGTGTTGTGTTTTCCCGTTCATCTATCATGGAACTCAGTATTTTGAGTGCACTGACAAGGACATCAAGAAACCTTGGTGTGCTACAACATCTAACTATGACATTGACGGAATGTGGGGACACTGTCTTGGTAAGGAAATAAACAGGACTACCAGCCAGATGGATAATATTCTCTTCTTTGCGTGGGTTATGTAACTAACCTGGTTCAAAAATGCAGCTGCTAATTTTTGCGATCGCAGGCACTAGCTTTTCAATCACTTTTCTGAGTTTATAATCAGTCTCAAATCTCGTCTTCTAGGCGAAACTCGGGAAACTACAGAGGCGCCCAAGGCAACAAAATTCACATCGACTGAAGGTCAAGCGGCTACTACTGGAACCCAGGCCTCTTCCGAGTCCACTTCCGTCACCGAAGGTCATGTGACAAGTCACGCGACGCACGCGTACACCTCAGGGACTAGTGTAGCCACTGAGACTCCACTCTCAGACGAGTTTCAGCCTTCTTCCACAGTGGGAACCACGCCCATGCCTTCAACATTTGCGGGTAGGCTATAGGGTAGTGGCTTGTGCGGTTGGAAGCCTCCACACATTCTGCCTTAGCCTGCAATGATTTTTGTCAGTAGGAGCTCAGTGACGTGACCGTGTTTCGTATAACGTGAATAATGTGAACCATGTTGGGTTGCTTTAAACGTGTTTTATTGAGTAATTGAGAATGTAACATGTTTCACCGTTAATGCTGGTAAAGTGTAACAACAACGGCAATTTTTTTTAAGAGAGCATAAGTAAAGGGGAAACGAACTCTTTTCCGTTGGTATCTTATCGAGACAGGAAGCGGAAAGTGTAACAGACTTAAAAATATAGGAAGTATATTGATAAATTTGATAAAGACAACTAGTAAAATGCATATTTCTGAAGCAGAGACAACTTACGAAATGTAGAATAATATTGTAAAAGATCTTCTGTAACTAACAAAGCTAGAATATTGTTTAAGTAACCTCGTTGGAGTGGAAATCTGAAATATCAATCTTGAACGGTGTTTATTTTGCGGTCCATAGCTCCAGTCACAGGCGTGTACTCTGATTGGTCCCATTGGTCTTTATGCTCGGCCACCTGCGGAGGAGGAACACAGGAGAGAACACGAAAATGCACCTTCCCTAAAGACACCAAGGGTGGGGTGGACTGTTCCTCTTTGGGACCCTCGTTAGAGACTCGAGAATGCAACGCCCTGTTGTGCCCAGGTGAGCGATTAAAGATTTTGCGCGCTGCTGGTACATGCAGCTTTGAAACTGCAGGCATGTTTCTTTACCGGCTTTGGACTGAAAGAACGAGTTATTTATTATCATAAATTGTAACGCAACTTGTAAAATGATTTAACTCACAACTGAAGATGGTCGCTGAACGACCAAAACATGTCCCTCAAGGTCAAGTGTGTCGTCTTCTTTCTAAATATTATAGTTTGTCTTCTTTTATCCAGATTATAACCCTGTAATCAAGTTTTAACTTTTGACTTCTGGGATCTTTTTTTTTTAAGAGCTTTCTCAGCACAAGGCTAAAATACGTTCAAAAATAATTCCGGAGAATTTTTCCCGCTAGTCCATTGCTTTGTGGAAACTCACGATGTTTTCTCCTTGTTTGGCGTTATCAAATTATTTTTTTTTCGTGACCTTCTAACCACAAAGAATATACAGTGTTCTCATTAAATAGTGTAGCTGCTTACGTTGGAGCAGTTTTAAAAATATTCCATTTTGTCCCACTAAATTTCATTTGTACGATTTTTGTTGTTGTTGTTGATGTGTTCCTAATCTCTCCTGTGGAATATTCCTCAAATGTGTTTGTATTTTATTGTTCGCAGAGGATGGTGGGTACTCGAAATGGAGTGATTGGTCAGCATGTGACGTGACGTGTGGAGGAGGAGTAATGCAGAGATACCGGACTTGTGATAGTCCTGTCCCGTCCAACGGTGGCCGAGACTGTGCTACAAAAGGCCTGGGTCCTACCATGGAGTCTAAAGCCTGTAGTCTTGTAGCTTGTCCACGTAAGTTAATAGGTTCTATGTGTTGTTTCCATGACATTACTTGCTGTGAAGATTAAAACTCTTCGTTTCAACCGTAGCCACGGTGATAGTATTAACGGATGCAAAGACAACAACAACAACCAACCATTTTATTTTTCCAGATTTACAAAAAGAAAAAAAAATAACAGCATACTGTAAAAACAATAAACTTAATTAGACAAAAAAGAAAAAAAAACTACTCAGAATAGTAAGAAAAGTAAAGAAGCTGAGTAGATAGAAAAATAATTAATATGCTTTACCTTGGTAACCACATTCATAATCAAAGAGAAGGAAAAAAACACAAAAAAAAAGATACGTGTACAAACAAACAGATAAGTGAATGATAAAAACAACAACAAAAAAAAGAAAATGAAAAGTAATCTAACCGTACCAGTTAATGATAAGACCAAATTTGTATGTAGTTTTGTTTTGGACGAAAAAAAAAAAAAAGGAAATAGGTTCGATAATAATACTAAGCCAGCACTAAGGAAACGCCCACACAAGGAGCATTTAATCAGATTACTGTAACAGGATTGTTTTCTTTTTCTTACATCAAGGATTTTCTATTTCTTTGCTAGATAATGGTGGATATACTGACTGGACCGGATGGTCACAGTGTGACAAGACATGCGGTGACGGCAAGAAATACCGAACACGCCACTGTACCAATCCCCCGCCGGCTCACGGTGGGCATGATTGCTCGTGGTTTGGGGACGACAGAGAAGTGTCTAACTGTAATGATGGACCGTGCGAAGGTGAGAAATGTCTTCTACGCAACAACAACTCAATCCCCTTCGTTCCTGAATGGTGTAACACAGGTCGTCCACTAGTGCTTGCCACCTGACCCTATTTTGAGCAGTGCACTTCACTTTCTTCCAGTGAGCTGTCTGTCCTTACATTCCACTGCCCGATCTTCACACATGCTTTTGGCGACAGCAATTTCATCGGCGGTTTAAGCGTCATTCTTTACTTGGCACGATGCTCCAATCGGGCGTTGACATCCTGTACCTTTGCTTCCCTACAGTAGGGCACAGTGGCAATACCAGTATTTGAATTTTCTTCTAGTCTTAGAAAAATTGAATTTTAGACCATTTCAGAAATTCGTTTAAGACCAGTTCGAATTTTGTAGACCGACTTCATTAAAACTGAGCGATCAAGCCTCTTTCATTGAACATCGGTACTTATTCAACTGTTTATTGTTTGTTTCTCTCAGTTGACGGAGGCTATACGGCTTTTACAGACTGGTCAGCATGCAGCAGGAGTTGCGGCCCAGGAGTGACATCTAGGCACAGAACTTGCTCCAATCCCCCACCCACTGCGGGCGGCAAAGATTGCACGAACCTGGGACCGGCATTTGAGCAGCGCTCGTGTCTATTGGCGGAATGTCCAGGTTTGTAGAGACTACATCAGCACGATTGCGCTTAAAACTCGCATGGAGCTTTGACTTGAAAGTTGGCAAGCTAATTCTGCATTTTTCTTGAACATTTGTCAGCTCGGCAATCGTAAAAATAGCAGTACTGTCAAGTACTATTTTACGTTTGATTAACTAAAAACGAACAGCTATAAATTTTTTTATTGGAGGTTTACAATTTTACATTTCTCGCGTAGAAATCGTGTATATTTTTGAGGTCATGCCGCAGTTAATTGTTAGTTCTGTAAAATGTAGCAAACTCTGTACTTTGCTGCGCAAAATACGCGTCCAATCTTGAACTGATGGCGTTCTTATTTAACTGTTCTGTTCTATCACTTGATTAGCAACCGGGAACTGGACCAACTGGAGTGACTGGAACCAGTGCACACGGACGTGTGGCTCTGGTATCCAGTTTAGAAAGCGAGTCTGTATTCACCCCAAAGGAGAGCTTTTCTGCTTAGGAGAGAAAGTACAATCCCGACTGTGTAACAGCCATCACTGCCCAGGTAACAATCTTGTCTCATTTTTACTGAAATTGTTGAGATTACTTTTTTGTTATACAAAGGTAAGATGTTTGCATTGGAAGGTATGTTATTTATTTCTGTAGGAATTGGGGCGAATTTTCGCGCTTTTAAAAAGTAGACTGTACACTCACGCACGCTTTTCGGGATTTCAAGTTTGGGTGTACTGTAAAAGGACAAATGCTCTCCTAAAATGAAAGTGATTAGATAATTATCAATGGAAGAAAAACGAAGGGTAAAATATGGCGACATTAAAATGGTTGTACTGACCAAATCTTTTAATTTTGACTCACATAAACTTATACATTGTGTTCTTGCTAACAACAATTTCGTTTTATATGCACTGTACTGTGACGGTCTCGTTCATTGAAGCAATTCTGTTGTGTTCTGTTCACAGTCAATGGTAACTATACGAACTGGTCAGTTTGGACTTCATGTTCGACCACTTGTGGTGTCGGGGTCAGAACTCGCAACAGAACATGCTCCAACCCAATGCCCCAGTTCAAAGGAAAATCATGCGAAGAGCAGGGCTTGGGTCTACCAAATGAAGCTGAACATTGCTACATGCGACAGTGTGGAGGCAAGTGGAATCTAAACCTAGATTCGTCTTGGCGATTGCCGAATCTTTCTTTTTAATCTTATTTTTTAGTCTTATTTATTACACTGAGGAATAATCGCCTTTTTGTTGTATTCTGTTTAGAGAATTCATTGTTTATTATTTACTGTTTTATTGTTATTTTCCACAGTAAATGGTAACTACACGGAATGGACTGATTGGTCGACATGCTCGCATTCTTGTGGACCTGGGTTCATGCTTCGAAGTCGAACTTGTACCAATCCCCCTCCGTCCAACGGTGGATTTGACTGCACAAGACTGGGACGACCTGTACAGAGCACTCAGTGTTACCTTGTGGACTGTCCAGGTAAAGAGAGAGGACCAGGACGGATTATACAGTTTCTTATTATCTTAGTGCTCTTTATACCTTTTACTGTGTTTTCTGCTTTTTCAAGACTGTCATCCTTGTTGTTACAGCATCGCCCCACTTCACGAAGAATTTTACCGCTGGCCTCGCTTTAGCTTTTCCCCTTCCTAAAACTAAACGCTAACTAACATTGCTTTTCTGTAGTTGATGGGAATTACACAACATGGTCGAACTGGACCGCTTGTTCAGCGACCTGTGGCGAGGGAACCACAACAAGGACCCGCTCCTGCACCAACCCTCCGCCGCTCCATGGTGGCAAAGACTGCACTGAAATAGGCTCCAATATTGAGATTCAGCCCTGCAAGAATCAGGATTGCTTGGGTAAATTACAATTGTGAACATACGTTTGTTGTATCGTGTAAGAATTATCAACCTTGTCTCCAAAAACATGACTGGTTTGCGGTTTTCGTCTGAACAGTAGGGAAGTAACATTATGTAACTATTTATACTGCGTCATGCTAGTGTAATCGCTCCTGGAGTACTCTTGAGTGATCCCATAATTTTGTGATGATGGAATAATTTCTTGATAAATTCCCTTCATCACGATATTTTTTTTATATATTGAGCGTGTAAGAACGTGCAAGACAAATATAAAAACGTGGCGGAAAATTATCTAAATTCATTGGTAAAAAAAGTTTCGTCAAGTGCCTATCTTCCAAGGATTGAAAAAGCTAGCAGTTTTAGTGGCTTTGCCTAGATCTTTCATTTAACGTTCACTTGTTTTGATAACTGTCCGTCATTTGTTTATTGTATAAACTAATTTCTTATTTCCGATGTTTTAGTAAATGGAGACTACAGTGAATGGTCCAGCTGGAGTATTTGCAGCAAGACTTGTGGGCGCGGTTACAAGAAGCGAATCAGAGCCTGCAACAATCCGCTTCCTTCCAATGGCGGGAAAGATTGTTACGAGCAAGGACTGGGACCCAGTGAGGAACGCACTCATTGCTTTGAGCGATCTTGTCCACGTAAGTAAGCTCTTTGCTGTTATGGCGACGTATGTCGATTATCCAGTTTCTGACGGGTTTATTTTTTGATGTTATAGTGGACGGAAGCTACAATGATTGGTCAGCTTGGACCACATGTTCAATGTCGTGTGGCGGCGGCGTGAAATTCAGACACAGAAATTGCACCAATCCAGCACCTATGCACGGGGGCCGAGACTGTTCTCTGATTGGCCCAGCTACCGAGAGTGACAGCTGTCATAGCGAACCGTGTCCAGGTAGGCGAATCGGTGACGTCACGGATTCTTCGCATCGCATGTTATTTGTATTCGTGTCAGTGAAGTTCTTGTAATCTTGATGTTTATACTTTATTTTTCTGTAGTTAACGGCATGTACGGTACATGGAGTCTGTGGAGCGAATGTGATCGAACCTGTGGGGGCGGTGCTCGAGTCAGGTCTCGCTCGTGTACCAACCCCCCTGCGCAGTTTGGTGGCTCCGATTGTTCTTCACTTGGACCTGACAAGGAGACGGAATTGTGTAACTTAAACAGCTGTCCTGGTAAGAAGTTTGTCTAGCGCTGAACTATTAAACTTACCGTAGTTTACTGAATGATTACTTTCTTTCTATAGTTAACGGAAACTTCAGTGAGTGGACTTTGTGGACGCCATGCTCAGTGACCTGTGGCCAGGGAATCATGACCAGAAAGAGGTTCTGTACCAATCCCCCTCCGACAGTTGGTGGAAAAGACTGTTCAGAGTTAGGACCTGATCATGAGAAAACCAGCTGTCAGCTCGTCGACTGCAGAGGTAAATACTTTACATACATAGACTGATTGCACAAAGGACGGCAAATTGCAATAAAAATACATTAGAAAACTTAGCCTCGTGCTTATGTTGACAGACAGAGGATTTCTCTCATCAGTGCGCGGATAAGGTCCCGTCTACGTACACTACGCCAGAGGAATTTGAGAGGAATTTTAAATGCAAAATGATTCTTTATTGTTGCGCTTCCAGATTCCTCCGGCGTAGTGTGGACGGGCCTAGGGCCTTCTAACGTAATGTTTTTCAAATGCTGCGCCATTTTGATTTATGAAATCATTCCATTGCCGGATGTATTCGTGTTCCCAGGCTAGCTTAACTTACGCACGTCACGTGCTCTCGCATATAACCTCAATGTAATCTCATTAACTGTTATGTTTGTGATCTGCAGCTAACTGCACATGTGGCACGTGGACAAAGTGGTCTGATTGTTCTCACTCATGCGGAGGCGGCCTGCAGCACCGCGAGAGAGACTGTGTACCACCCAAATACCAGAGAGACATGTCATGCGAGAACGATAAGAAAGAAAGCAGGCTCTGCCGATCAGAACCATGTCCGAGTAAGTCAAAACCTTTAAATGGTCAAAACCTTTAATTATTTCCTTTACCTTGTAGCCGAGCAGCTCTTTAGAGACTAATTCTCCGATCAGTCATTTGATTCACTCATCTGTTTATTGACTGATGAAAAATTAAACTCCTCTATCATCAGTTGACGGCAAATTCAGTGACTGGACTCCATGGTCACCGTGTTCAGTCACGTGTGGAATTGGAATGAAGAACAGAACACGCTCGTGCATGTCACCTGAACCACAGTTTGGCGGGAAATCTTGCACGGAGCAGGCACTGGGACCAAGTATGGAGGCGACTCAGTGCTATCTGACGCCGTGTCCAGGTACGTGACAACCACGCCAAACACAACGGCAGTCATCATAAAAGCACTGACGAAATGCAAAAGCAACGCTATCGATACCGATTAAAACAGGGGTAGTTTGCTCTTCGGAAATCTTGGGAGTTTGATTTTGGAAGATATTTTGTGATTTCAACTTCGAACAAGACCAGTTCTCAGTCTGCTATCTTGAAGATTTAAATTGATCTTTCATTCTCACCACGTGCTCGAATTGTAACAGTCTCAAATGCATCTCCTCGGCAACAGACAAGTGGCCAGCCGTCCACCCGTGGGATATTTAACAACTTGAGCATCACTTAACCAAATGGCTTTCTTCATTCGCTTTTCTACCTAGCTTAGCGGTGAAAGATTCATCGGAAGCTAAGATTTCTTACTGATGCCGTTGGCGTTTTATCATATTATCATCAATTGCTAACTAATACTTTCACGTCATAGTGAATGGTGGCTACACTGAGTGGAATGGATGGACGCCATGTTCGGTCACGTGTGGTAGAGGCATCAAAAAGAGGCAGAGGTTCTGCACCAATCCCGAGCCGGCCTATGGCGGTGTCGCCTGTGGACACTTGGGATCTGGGGAGGAAGTTGTGCAGTGCTATGACGTGAACTGTCCTGGTGAGTACTTAGTTGATTGACAGCTATTAGCCAGTTGATTGATAGGTGTCAAATTGTTAAGTGGCAGAGCAGTCAATTGTCAAGCGTCACTACAAATTGATGTCTCAACCACATTGTCTTTGTTTTTGTAGTCGATGGTAAGTACAGCCCGTGGTCTCAGTGGTCAGCGTGCTCCAAATCCTGTGGCTACGGGATTCAGACAAGAAAACGTACCTGCACAAACCCAGAACCACAACATGGCGGCCGTGACTGTACTGACCTGGGAGATCCAGAGCACATTCGACCGTGCCAAGTTATACAGTGCCCCAGTAAGTGCTTGTTACAGTTTCTAAAAAACTGACGCGAGTGTAAACCTAGCATGCATAGCGAGTTCTCTTACTTTTAAGTTTAACTGGACCAGAAATGTTAGGTTTGTTCATGCAGTAAACGAGGACCAGCCATACAAGCTGCTCAGTATAAAACTGATTAGAAGCCAGACTTAGATATATGACGGTAGACTCGGTAGAAAAATGCTTCACATGCGCAAGAAAGTTAGAAAAGGAGAGTACTGTGGAAAATCTTAATCGTAGCTTTGAGAGGTTAAAAATACACTGACCAAGATCATAGGAATCCCACCAAATAGTTTTTAGCCTAAATATTGATGTGATTGTTTTGAAAAACAAACGAGGAGTGCTTCTGTTCTTTGCCTGTAAGCGATGACAATTGCGTGTTGTTTTAAATTGTTTTCACTACCCTTCCTAGTTCACGGAAACTACTCTGTGTGGTCCAACTGGGGCACGTGTTCAACGTCCTGTGGGCCTGGGGTCAAAAAGCGTACCCGTACATGCACCAACCCTGAACCAGAATACGGCGGGCTCACATGTAGAGAGAGGGACCTGGGACCTAACATGGAGCCTGCGAACTGCAATCTTGGAACTTGCCCAGGTGAGTGTTTGTTTCGTTTTTACAATAAAATGGTCATCTAATTATTCAAAAGCCTTTCTTGGCAATACGTGAGTAACGAGGATTGACATTGTTCTTCTCTTACCAGTGAATGGGGTTTGGGGCCCATGGTCTATGTGGTCAGCCTGTACGACCAGTTGCGGCCCAGGGACTAGGGAGAGGAAACGATCGTGCAATAGTCCTGCTCCTCAATTTGGCGGCAAGCCTTGCAGTGGCTCCGAGAGACAAGTTGGAGACTGCAGTTACAGGCCGTGTCCAGGTAAAGAATATCGCAGTTTCGAAAGTGCTCTTGTGCTTGTTAATCCAGACTAATCCAGGAAGCTTTGCTAATGAAGTTCGATCAAGTAGAGAGTGGAATTTTTTTAAAATGAAAATGAAATGTATACTTGAGCCAATCGTGACGTAACTCGGCACGCCTTGTTTCCTCCCGCTTGTTATCTGCGACCGATTTCGATTTTCCCCGCGGTTTACTATTCCCACGCTTGCCACCATCTGTTGTTGATTTTTCTTCCGCGTTTATCACGGATTATAGGTTTTCCCGCCCTTTCTGCTGGGCTGGAATACGCTATTAATATCAGTTCAGTTCAGCTTACTTCGCTAGCTTTCGAATTAACGACTTCTGGTGTTGTTTAGCTGGTCTTAAGTTTTATCGAAAATCGTTATGTTACCTCGCTCCTATTTTGTGCTCTCTCCCTCAGTGGATGGTAATTACACGGAATGGACTCCCTGGACTGTCTGTGATAAGACTTGTGGTGTTGGTCTCATGACACGCTGGCGCGCATGCTCAAACCCAGCGCCTCAGTTTGGCGGCCGGGATTGTTCACTGTTTGGTTCTGACACCGAGACAAAGACATGCGAAGTGAAGGATTACTGCCCAGGTAAGTGATAAACTTGATATCGCCCGTTCAGTCGGACGAAATACATGTATATGCTTTAAGTTAGTCAAAATCTACGTTTAAAAAGTATTGAGCTCACGTTTTTAGCCAGAAGTTGCTACGTAACACAGCAATTTTTTTTATAACAATACGACTCATAGTGTATTCCCGAATACGTAGTCACTCTCGGAAGAGTAAACCTACCACGAGGCCTTATCTTATTTACCGTAGAAAATATAGATGAAACGTTTTGTGCATAAATACGATTTCAACTGATACAAAGACTTCCCTGTAAAAATATTCACCCGCTTTCTTTTTCGTTTCGATTTTAGTTGATGGAAACTGGGGCGAGTGGTCATCCTGGAGCGCTTGCACCAAATCTTGTGGGGTTGGTGTAAGAATGCGAGTGAGGTCCTGCGATAATCCGCCTCCTTCAAAGGAGGGCAGAGACTGTGTGGGACATAACACCCAGAAAGTTGACTGCAAATCAGGAGACTGCTGTAAGTACTAGAGGACAAAAAGCAGCTTCAATCTTGATAATCTTCTTGTGTCAGAGGAACAAGGCAGCGTGGCCGAATGGTTAGGGCGCTGGGCTTGAAATCCGGAGGTTGCGGGCTCAAGTCCAGCTTTGACCATTAAACTAGAGTTGTTTCTCAGTAGACCCTATATCTACTTCACGTTCATGCTTGTAAATAGCCAACTGGTCTGTCTTCCGCCAGTTGGCATTTTTAAGCCTATTGTGTTTATTTCAAATATTTCTTTATTTCAGTTTAAGTGGCATGCCTGAGAAGTAGCTAGGTGTAGCTAAACGCATCGACCATTATAAACATTCAACATTTAACAATTTTTAAGATTTTAATCGAATTCCCCCATTCTATCCATTTTTCGTTGAAATCTGTAGTTCTGTTTCAATCTTATTTAATATGGATCATCTGTATTCTGAGAGTTCTCGTTATCCCTTTGTTTTGGAGATTTCTCTACTGTTTATGAACCATCGGCACATTTTTCCGAGTCAGCGGTATCTCCCTCGTTTAATAGCTCTTTGCTCTTCAGATTTTTTGTGGTCTGTCGCGTTGTAAGGCGCTAAACTAGCAAAACTGTTTTATCGCGAAAAACAAAAACCTGACCTGTAAAAACTCCATCATCCAAAGCAGGGCGTGTCTTACCTTTTGAATGGTTTCTCTTCTTTGCAGGTTCCGTACCCATGAGGCCACTCGGTTGCTTTGTAGACAACAAATCGCCCAACCGACCTCTACCCGAGCTCATTTTCACCGATAATGACCTCGAGAGCACTGTGTACAGCGGTGTTAGCGTGCAGGCTGATGATTGGGAAACTTATATGCCAGACTTAGTCTGCAGGTCAGTGACTCTCTCCATTCCTCCTCTCCAATTTTGTTTCAGTTCAGTGCATTAACTTTAAGGAAATCATCTCTTCTAAAAGCCCCTAGTCAGGACTCGAACCCAGACCACTCGATCTGGAGTTGAGCGCCTTTTAGGAAGGGTTCTCCCTCGGGATTATGTGTCAATACAAAATAACCTATTTGATGATTTTCCATATTCTCATCACTTGCCATTGTGATAATATATTGCTGCTGTGATCATACTCCTTCAATTTTCCTAGGTGCGCTAAGGCGGCGTCGATGAAGAACTACTCTCACTTTGGTATCCAAGGTTACGGGGAATGCTGGTCAGGACCCAACGCTGCCAAAACGTTTTCACGTGACGGCGTGCAGAACAGATTCACTCAGCGACCCTCGCCAAAGCCCTGGGTCGGCTGTGTTGGAGAGGGATTTGAGAGATGTCGAGGTGGAAACGACCAGTGTGTGGGCCAAGAGAAAAGCAACTTTGTTTACGCGTTTGTCAATGGTGAGTAGTTTGGAAGAATATCGTACGTGTATATTGTAAACGATGGGAAAATTGAACTGAGAAAAGCAAGTGACGTTTCCTTATTGAAACACTTTTAGTTATTTTAATATTAGCCGCACAGTACTTGTAGAGCGGTTTTCATTTGAGTGTCGAAAAGTAATTGGTTTTCCATTACTGCGCTACACGATTGGCTTAAAAAAAAACCCACGCCACTTTTTCATCCAATCAGAAGTAAGCCAAAACCAATCGTGTCTCGTTCGCACACGTTTTCCCGCGCTTTGCGTCAGCTACGTATAATTACTACCAGTTTTGATTGGTTTACGGTTTTGTCTGTGTCTTTTGTGATTGGCTAGCTAGAGTGATTACTTTGGTTTTGGTTTTATGACACTCAGTTCAAGAAAACCGCTCTATTGTACAAATGGAGGTAATTCTTAGAATGAACTCTGTAGCATTTTTAGTTGCTGAAGTAATCTCTTTGCAAGCGTTAGCCCTAAGTTGGGAAATGTGGCCACACGAGGCACGAAAATACTTTTGACCTCGAAGAAAATTCGAACTTAGCTGCGAAGCCAGGTGGGAGTAAGTTGTGGATTATCTCGTGGTAATTATCTGCAAAGTAGAAGTGAAGGGTACAATTGCAATTCAGTTCTTATACATTTCCAAATGTGGTCTCTTTATAGTGAAACCAATCAATGGAAACTATGGTCCTTGGTCTGCTTGGACGCTGTGCTCCAAATCATGTGGTGGCGGCGTGAGATCACGAGTCAGGAACTGTACCAATCCAGCCCCTGCGTTCGGTGGCATGGATTGTTCTGCGCTGGGAGAGCCGCAGGAAAGCGAGCCTTGTAAGACGAGGCAAATTTGTCCAGGTCAGTGTTGCTTTTATTACTCCTTATAACTCGAATAGATCTCTCGTACTTTGGTCAGTTGCGGACCTCATTCAGTGTACATCTCAGTTGTCTGTTTTGAATTACCTCGGGAGAGGGAGTGCTAAGGTTTAAGCAAGTGAAGATCTTTCTTTCGCATTTCGGCCATATGTTCGTTTCCTCAAGTCTGTAGCCAACTGCTCTTTGTTACTTCATGGATGGGGCGTACGTTGAAGAATTGAATCGTTTGTAATGCTCGTCAGTCTTGGCGATCGTTTGTCTAGTTTGGTTTATTGTTTTCTTTTGGTTGCTTTTCTACCTAATAATAATTTTGACTCGTCTTTGTTTATTTTAGTTGATGGCGCATGGAGCGCATGGGGCAACTGGACCGCGTGTTCAGAGACCTGCAGCAAAGGAGTGCAGCATAGAAGACGACTCTGTAACAGTCCCGCGCCGTCTAATGGTGGCCATATGTGCCTGGGACCGGCAAATCAAAGCTTGTCTTGTAACCAAGGCGACTGTCCAGGTAAGTTAAGGAGGCCATTTGTAATTTGTAAGAAAGAAAATATATGACTGTTAGACTAATTCTCATTAGAGAGATTTTGGACCGAGTTTCCGCGTGATTGAACCATTGCTCGGAATTTACGACTTCGAATTTTTCCCCATGAAACGGAGTCATCTTGGCATTGAAAATTACCTCTGGGCGCTAATGAACGCGAACTAGCCATGAAAAAAAAAAATGATACAAACAAACAAACAATCAAAAATACTTAAAAAGGGTATTCAGTTTGGAAAGTAATGATCCACTTTATTTCCAGTGAACGGCAGTTGGTCAGCGTGGAGTTCGTGGCAAGCATGCTCCGCCACATGTGGTGATGGACTACAGATCAGGACTCGAGTCTGTGACCATCCTTCTCCTGTTAATGGTGGTTATTCTTGTGAAGGAGACGCGACTGAGGTGAAGCCTTGCACAGTGCGGAGATGTCGTAAGTTGACGCGTTGCTATACAGTGTAGTGTGACATATAGGTAATAACATGCGTGACACTTGTTCTGGGCGCTGTTCTAATGCATTGTAACGCAATAGAACAATGTGGAAAGGATGTAAGGAACCTAAGTGTCACAGTGTTAGAAACATGATTAACCCCAGAAAATTGGCTTAGCTAAAACTGAAAAAATGGTGTTACGATGAATATAATTTCGCCGTGATGAGAAGGGATGTACCAACCTAAATCCACTAAATATGGCGTCAAAGAAACTATCGGTCCATATCTACTTCTTCATATACGAATACGATATATAGAAATAAACAAATCAGCAATTAGGGAATATTGTCTTGATGTATCACTGCATTCTCAGAACTAACACTAACGGAAATATCTGGTAGTCACCAAGGAGAATCTATATTTTGATCTTGGGACAGAAACGTTAAAATTGTATGTTCTCATTGAATTGCAGCCATCAATGGAAACTACTCTGATTGGTCGGACTGGTCTGAGTGCAGCAGAACATGCAGCGGAGGCATTAAAACGAGGACACGCGAATGTACCAACCCCAGTCCCCTGTACGGCGGAAAGGACTGTAAGGAGATTGGGTCTGCATTTGAGAAAGTTCATTGTAATCCACAATCCTGTCCAGGTATGACTTGAGAATTGTTCTGACAACGTGTGTTTTCTAATGGTAGGAAAATAGAAAAAGCGTTTTGCACGAATTGAGATACTTTTTCAAAGTTTAAGAAAACCAGGTTTAAAATTCGCTACATCTTGACCTCTTTCTGTATGGCTCGTTCAGCTCAAAATGACATGATCTTGTGAAAATGCTTGCGACTGGTTTTAAGTGAAAATGCCTTCGATATTTTTTATTCCTTTTTTTTAGTTTTGTCTCATAGACTGCCTTTTGAGATCTAACAAATGCCAATATGTAATGATTTCGAAATTAGTCAAGGTATTTCAACAGTCGTCACCGGCTTCTGTTTTTTAGTACTTAGTTTCTCTCGACTTTTGCAGTTCACGGGAACTGGGGCTCATGGAACATGTGGAGCTTCTGCTCAGTCAAGTGCGGCCCTGGTAAGAGGGAACGCATGCGCAAATGTGACAACCCGCCGCCCAAATTTGGAGGAGAAAGCTGCGTGGGCTCAGACAGACAAACCATGCCTTGTAGTTTGTCAGATTGCCCGGGTAAGTCCGGTAATCTTAAAATAAGTAGGAAACGTAAAGAATACCAAGGTGACAGTTCCTTAAGGGTAGGCCATAACTTTTTTTATTTGACCTAGCAAATATTAGTAAATGTTAATGTTGGTTTCGTTTGTTAATTTAAAGTATTTTTTATGTAGTTGATGGCAAGTGGGGTCTGTGGTCTCCGTGGACTGCGTGTTCCGCCACATGCGGTGCCGCTAAACGTTCAAGAACTCGCGAGTGTGACCATCCTCCAGCCGCGCATGGAGGAAAAACGTGCGAGGGGCCTGAGAAACAGGAGGAATACTGTAAACTGCAGCCATGTCTAGGTCAGTGTTAAGGTGTTTTTGATGAACGACTATCCTTGCAGAAATATCTTAGACATAACAAATGCATGTAAATGGTTTCGACCCGTTGGCTCAAAAATAAGTTAAATAACGTAACTTTCTGACGGGGTTTCATTAACTTTTGTGTTCTCGTTCTCTGCGGAGCTGGAGTTGTGACTCTTCAAGAAAAACTAAGGCACAATTACAAACCCCTTTAAACGGAGTTACAATTTTGAGTTTGCATTTCCTGTAATGATAAAAGTGCTCTTTATTGAAGAAGTGAGGATTGGATCGGAAGAGGGTAGTGGGGGTAGGGGGTAGGGTAGTGTTTTGTTACCAGATTGATTGGGCCCTAGCCAGGTCGGCAGCCAGGTCTCTTAGCAGCTGGTCATACAACTATGAAATCCCGGAGATCGATCAGCATTTCTGACATTCTTTCGATTTTCAGTTAATGGCGGCTACACAAACTGGGGTAGATGGACCGAGTGTGACGTCACATGCGGTGGTGGTCATCGACAACGGTCACGTGCCTGTACCAATCCTGTGCCTGAGTATGGTGGGCTGAATTGTACGTACTTGGGAGACACTGTACAGTCTGATGTGTGTAACACCAGGCCTTGTGCACGTGAGTATTTCAGAGAGGGTCGATACCATCATTGGTGTTTCATTGGTGTTTAATACCAGAGCGTGACTACTGATAATATTGTTCACAGAAGCATAACATAGCGTGATAGCAACACCTACCAAAAAGTGACTATCCCTTACAATACGAATCGCTTAGTCAGATTCAGCGCAACTTGTATCTTCTGATATTAAAGAACCACAATTTAAATTACCAAATATTTATTCTTAGCGTTGCCTGTTCTTTTTGTCGCTCTTCTCTAGAGCCCGGTGGTTGGTCCGGCTGGTCTGTGTGGTCTCCCTGTAGTCGCTCATGCGGAAGCGGAAGTACGACAAGAAGACGAACATGTACCGCACCTCCACCCTCCTACGGTGGGGCTGACTGTACGGGGGAGGGTCAGGAGAGGAAAGCATGCAAGATCCAGGACTGCTGTAAGTTTTTTTTTACAGTGTTTTCTCTGCGTTGTAGCTGCGGAAAGTTTTAGTCAAATGCGCACAAAAATAAAAGCAATGGAATGGTGCTAGTGGTCTGTGAGCTTGTTTACATATTTTATATCCACTTCCTTTTTAATAGTGTGCAGAATTGCTTGATTTTCACTTGTTATGGAGGTGTCTTAAGTCAATCCAGGTTCATTGTTTTATGTATACAATAAAAATACTGCCTGAGCGGAGCACAACAGAAATCCTACTTGAGACATTCAGTCACTCCGCCTTCGTTTCGGACGAGTGTCTGACTCCATATTAACCTTTCAAACAGGTGTTTTAGTTCTTAATATTGCATTCTGTAATATCATGTTCAGGTGAGATCCCCTACAGAGCCCTTGGCTGTTTCCGTGATGATCATAACCTGTACAGACCGTTGCCAGAGCAGCTGTTCAGTGATCCGCAGGAGAAAATCGATTTCAAGGACTGGCCGAACTATTTGTCTGATGTTATCTGCAGGTAAATACTGGTATAACTCTGTGTAACACCCTACGAGCATTTGTGTACGACGTTAGAGGGAGTTAAAAACTTACAGGTGTAACGTGAAATCCGGCGAGAGAATTTAAAAGGATCTCCTCGCACCCTTAATCCCTACAGTGACAAGGAAACGTAGTTAGAACTGTCGAATGAGACACACGGAACAAAACGACCAAGTGCCGAAGTATGATCGTTCCAGGATGCATATTCTACGGACAACGACATGAAATTCTCAGAGCTTATTTTAAAAGAATTGTATGGTAATTAGTAAGAGGAATTTGTATTTTCATCGTAGAAGCGAATCTGATAAAGTGACGTTCATCTGATTATCTTTCACAGATGTGCGCGCGAAACGCAACGGAAAGGTTGGAGGACATTTGGATTGCAAAACTATGGCGAATGTTTGTCAGGTGACCGAGCGAGTGACACGTATTTGCAAGAAGGCGAACAACTGTTGTTTATGGCGCCAACTCAACCCAAACCACTGCTGGGATGTGTGGACAATGAGATGAAACTTTGCTCTGGAAGTAATCTGGAATGTGCCGGACAGGAAAATTCAAACTATGTGTTTTCTTTGGACGATGGTAAGTTATAATAATTGAAGGTCGTTTGTGAGCCATTCAAGGGGAGCCGTGGGAAAAAACGAGCAAGTGCTTTCTGCGAACCAGGTTCTGTGTTTGACTTTAAAAAATTATTGCACAACTTAAAGGTGGTCCGTCCCTTACTGGTCTGTTTTACATGGTGGTATGGTTGGTGCAGTGGTGAATTGGCTTTAGGAAAGACTTTAGAAAGCCACTGTGATATTGTAAAATTAGTGTGAAACTCTAAGATTAAGAACAGGCAATAATCACCGCGTGACATTTATCTGTGATATTCTTGCAGTGAAAGCAGTTCAAGGGAACTACACGGAGTGGAGTGAGTGGAGTGACTGTTCCACAACCTGCGGGAATGGAGAGAAGTATCGAACTAGAAACTGTACCAATCCCCCTCCAGCGTTTGGAGGAATGGACTGTTCATTTATCGGGATGGACAGAGACGTACAGACCTGCCAGAAAAGAGCTTGTGCTGGTGGGTGTTATGGATGCTCTATGCAACACTTGTGATTGAAAACTGATTTGAGGTCTTATACTTGAGGCATAGTAGGTGAAAACGGCAGAAAAAAATAAGCTTAATTACGATTAATTACGATTCTACTCTCACCACTGTTTTGTCTCCGTAGTTGATGGTAACTGGGGAGCATGGGGCAACTGGAGCACGTGTTCAGCCACGTGCGGTCACGGTACAGTTCACAGAAAGCGCACGTGCGACGGCCCTGCACCTGCTAATGGTGGGAAACCGTGCGCGGGCGAGGGACATGAGACAGCGGTGTGCACCATGACACCATGCCCATGTAAGTTAGAAGCCTTTGAATGCTGAATTACTCGTCACAAAACAGGAAGGGAAAATTATACTTGCAAACCAGTCTATCGCCCTGTGATGTCCGCACAATCTTCCCCAATCTCTATCCATCCTTGTTTTTGATTAGTTTATTTTTCTCATAATTAACTCTTATTTTGCGATTTCCATACTGCGTATTTTGTGCATGGTGACAAGTGACTCAACATGTCAATTGTTATCTTCTTTAGTGAACGGTCGTTGGTCCGGTTGGACTTCATGGAGTCCATGTTCTGTGACTTGTGGTAACGGCCGACAAGAGCGCATGCGTAAGTGTGACAGTCCCGTGCCGGAGTATGGCGGGAAATTCTGCGACGGACCCGCGCGAGAATTCCACAACTGTGAAGAAGATGACTGTCCAGGTATTTCGTCAAATATGTGTTCAACAGGTTTAATAAAGTAGTTACATACACAATGTACTAGAATTGAACAAAACAAACATAAAGTTTTATGAATATTGTAGAAAATGTTACGGATGCTTTGCTTGAATTTGCAGGTTTCTGGAGCGAGTGGTCTGCGTGGAGCGCATGCTCAAAGACCTGTGGTGCTGGTGGAAGGCGTGACAGAACGCGCACGTGTCAAGGTGGAGCTACGTGCGTGGGATCCGCGCGCGAGATTGAAGTCTGCAAAGTGCAGGATTGTCCAGGTGCGAACAAAGAAACGTTTGAACATTTTATATGAAAAACATTAAACTAATGGAAACATGAAATCTTTACAACAGTGAACAAAAAATATGATTTAAGCAGTCTCAAGGTAGCTTATCCAGCTAGAGGCAGGATTGTTTAGGAATTTTAACGGAGCAAATGGTGAGTGATTCGCTTTTCTTTACAGTTTGCCACAAGTCTATTGACTTGGCCTTCGTCTTGGACGCCTCTGGAACAGTAGACGACTCTCAATGGAAACTTACCAAAGATTTCGTCCATGGTGTCAGCAATGGTTTCGGCCTTGCTTCCAACAAAACACGAATCTCTGTTTTGGCCTACTCCACATTACCGCAAATTGAATTGAAATTCGATGACAGGAATGCTTACGAAAACATGGATGATTTCCTTGAATCCATGTCGCAGCCACGCGGTGACACGCGAACCGACCGCGCCCTGAAAATGACACGTGATAAGCTAATAACATCTGAAGCAGGCGCACGCGACTTCACGCCTAAAGCAATTGTTATTGTTACGGATGGCGGAGATGCGCCTGACACTACGGCGAAGTTTGCTGAGCAACGCGCCCGCGAGCTGAAGGACATGGATGGCGCGACAATTGTTGCCCTAGGGGTAGGGGACAAGGTGGATCAGTATGAACTGAGACAGCTAGCGTCCGATCCTGATCACGCATTTTTAGTGACGTCATATGATGACATCATTGGTTATGTCAAGTCAGCGGCTGATGCAGTTTGTACAGGTGAGTGACGTCACTACAGGTTATATACGTGCGCCTGAGCTTGTATATTGAATGTTTTTTATGAGATGAGTGTTTTTATAGTATGAAGAAACTGAACATGATTTTTAGAACGAGTTTCGATAGTAACTGTCTTACGTAGCTTTGATTTTGTAATAAGAATTTGCCAGAAAACGTCACGCAAATTTAAGTAATCACTGGTCAAAGCTTTAAGCTCGATTCCCTATCAGTCTGGAATAAAATCTGCTACTCAATTCATGACCAGGAAGTTTTATGATACTATTTTCCATAACTGACAGTAATTTCCCTTTCTTAGTAAAAATATTTTGCTCTCTGAAAGTAACCAAATAAAATGTTATCCACAACATTGACTGACGTAATTATTTTCTGATCTTTTTTCCTCAGCAAAACCGCCTCCTCCTCCACGTAAGTATTTATTTTAGTGTAGCCAATTACGTAACACTAACCTTATAGTTGCTGTCGATGTGGAGCTGTATTATAGTCTAGGTGATCCCCAGGTCCTCACTGGTGACTGTCGTGATTGTTCTTCACGGGAACGGTTAGAGTACATGAACAATTTAACCCTCATCTCTGGCAAATCTATTCAGCTCCTGCGATAGCCATCAGACAAGCCGCTAAGGCAGATAAAGTATCGTCAGTTTACAGTTTGACGCCACAACTCTTAGACTAGTTGTGAGTGCTTTTGCACGCTCGAGTGTTCTATTTAGGCCCCCAGTTTTGACTAAAAAATGCGCTTAGTCAATTGTAGAAGCAAAACATTACTTGCTCGACGCTTGAGCTTGTTTTAGAAGAGAACAAAAAGACTAATTTCGTTGATAATAGCCACCATGATTTAATCGACTTATTTTTTCCTCATCACAGCTCGTTGGGGCTCATGGACTGAATGGAGTCCGTGTATGAAGACTTGTGGCACGGGCGTTAGTTTGAGGTCACGTAAATGTCTAACCGGTGCGAATTGCAGAGGAACTGGTACCGAGACAAAGAAGTGCAAGATTCAGGATTGCCCATGTAAGCCACTTATTGCGCTAAGAACCAAACAGTTTAAAACCAACTCTGAGGCACAATGGTTGTAAACTTAATAACTTCAAAGGTCGGTTGGAAGTGCTAACTATTTTAATTGCACCCATCCGCCTCTCCCCTTACATACCGTTACCAGAATTGCTTGCCCCTGCAACTAGTTCCAGCACTAATCGAGGCGGGGGCAAGAGTTTATATTAAAAAGGAAAGAACGAAGTAATGATGATTTACGACAAAATTACAAAAGGTACAAGTAAACAATAGAAGCAACTTCAAGTAACCGGAAGCAAAGTAACAGTCTAATAAATGCACACATACACAAGTGACTAGAATACTATTGTTAATAAACTATGTTAATTTGGAGAACTTCTGTATCGGTTGGGAGACTTCAATATAGTCATCTTCACATTGTAACACATCAAGGAATGGTTCCTTGATATGTTTGTTTCAAAATATACATATATGAAAACAAGGTACCACTGATCAACTGATGTGAATTCTGTGTCTTTAGCTTGCCAGTTGGCCACAGACCTGGCTTTCATTCTACCAGTCTCTTCTAAAATAAATGACACTGAATGGCGAGAAGTGCAGAACTTCGTAAAGGGCGTGGCGAACGCGTTCAACATTTCTTACCCCGGTACCCACGTGGGTGTCTTGTCCTATTCATCCCAGGCCACCATGGAGATGAAATTCAACCGGTATTATTATCACTCCGACGTGTTGAACGCTATCGATAATATCTTCCCGGAAGCTAAAAGCGACCACGGCACGCGGCTGGACGACGCTTTGGAAATAGCCAATTACGAGCTGTTTACTCCCGCGGGAGGGTCACGTGATCAGGTCACCAAGACGCTGGTAGTACTGGTGTCCGACAAGCTGAACGATGGAAAGGTCGCTGGAATTGTGGGACGGTTAAAGTTTGGTGGCGTGACACCCGTGGCTATTGGTGTTGGCTCGGGTGTTCAGCGCGACGATTTGTTAAAGGTCGCAGACGGTAATCACACATTCTCCGTAGCCTCCTTCAATGATCTTATCAAGGTGGCTGAAAAGGTTGTGAAGAGCGCTTGCGAAGGTAAGAAAGGTTTTGCTTGGCTGATTTCAACTGATAAATCAATTCACACACAAAAAAAACTTCCATGTTGGCTTTTCTGGGATCTTTTTAATAATTGCTTGAAGTGAAAATGAGTTTGACTTTATTGGACTCAAACAAGTGCTAAGCCAGTTCAGAATGCAGTCTACTGTGAACTCATTGTTGACTCTTTTGTCAACTAATTTCTGTGTTACCCACCACGATGTTTCCTGCAACGTTTATCCCAATTTTGTCGAGACTCGGCGACTCAAGTGGCGCGGAAAAAATTCCAGGCTTATTGCACCTAATAATTGCCCTTTCTTTTACAAAGATCTTGATATTTGACCAATTGCTCCAGTTAAATTGCAATTTTAATCTTAATTTGGAACCCTCCTGATGATATAAATATTGTGGTTTTTTTGGGGTGACTCATTACAATATTACACTGTGCCTTTTTTATATTCGCAGTTCCAAGCTATCTCTTTAAACAACTTGACGCTGACAAACATCAGCCTCGCCCTGAAGCTGAACGAGTACCAGTTTTTAACGTTGCTGGATATCCAAAAAAACCTCAAGGAGTCACCGCAATGCCAGTGACACCAGGTCAGCAGCAGACCATGAAGGGTTATACGCCTATACAGCAACCTCAGGCTGTAAATCAGGTTCCTACAGCCAATCAGCCGTCTTACTCGAATGCTGCATCAGCACAACCTGTTAAACAAGTTACTTCTGCTCCACAAGCTGTCAGTGCAGGCGCTTCACAATCCCCGCTACCAACAAATCCGGTTACAAACGTGGCTCAACCGGTTTTCTCAAACGCGACTGCGACTCAACAACCCGTTGAACAGGTTACCTCAGCTCCACAGGCTGGCAGCGCAAGTGCCACACAATTTCCACAACCAACAAGTCCGGTTACAAACGTGGCTCAACCGGTTTTCTCAAACGCGACCTCAACGCAACAACCTGTTGAGCAGGTTACTTCTACTTCACAAGGTGTCAGTGGAAGTGCTACGTCAGCTCCGGGACCTACGAATGCAGCTACGAACGTTGTTCAACCGGTTTACTCAAACGCAACGTCAACTCAACAACCTGTTGGACAGGTTGCTGCCGCAGTGTCACCGGTTTATTCGAAAGCCACAGCAGCACCACCTCAAAGTGTTTACACAAACGCTACACTTGCTCAGCAACCATCGACACCTGGTCCAATCCCCCCGTCAAATGTCACTTCCGTGCAGCAACCTGCCATTCCAGTTTCAGGAGCGCAGCAACCAGTTTACTCAAATGCCACAGGGTCACCTCAGCCGCCTCAAGTTCAGTATGGTAATGTTAGTGCCTCTGGAGTTGGATATCCTGTGACTCAACAGCCCCAAGGTGTCTATTCAAATGCCACTACTCTGCAGCCGGCATATCCCCAACAACCGCAGTCTGTTTATTCAAACGTTACAGCTCCTCAAGGAAATGAGACTGTTGCTCCGCCACCGGCAAACGAAACCTTGATACCCCCGTCAGGTCCTCAGGCACCAAGTACTCCGGGTCCTGAAACTATTCAAGTGGGAGCAGGAGCTGAAGCTAATGCTACGGCCCCGCAGACTCAGCCACCACCTTCTCAGGCTCCAGCAATGCCGGCATACAATGCCTCGGTATCTCCAGCAATGCCGTCTTACAACGTCACAGTGGCTCCAGTAGTACCGGCATACAATGCCACGCTGCCGCCTGCAATGCCAGCAGTTAATGCTACAGTCCCACCAGTAACTCCGGCAATCAATGCCACAGTTACACCGGCAATGCCGGCAGCAATGCCTTCATACAATGCCACAGTTGCGCTAGCAATGCCGTCATACAATTTCACGATGGCTCCAGTACCTGGAAATGTCACTGCGCCTGTTCAGAATGTAACTGCTGGTCAGGCACCCGTTTCAGCTGCCAACCCAACTGCTGCACCCCAAGTAACTGCTGCTCAATTACCTGCGCCTGCACAACCAAGTCAGCCATTGCAATCCCAGGAAGGAGCTACCCAAGGAGCGATCCCATTGACTTCCTCCGGTCCTCAGCCATTTGGTAAGGGTTACAATGTTTCCTCAAGCGTCTTAGTGGCTCGGAATCCTAAAACCTAGAATTTGATTGGATAATTACGCTGTGCAGTTTTTCACGATACGGACCCGAGTGACGAATTGCTCACGTTCCCATGCTAGAAACTTGAGGTTCTGGTTCACTTTAAACTATGTAGGATATGTAAACCCGACAAAAAAAGACGACGCAGAAGCAAAGAGATAGAGATTCGGTTAACGGAAAGCCAAAATATTTAACAATTATTGGACGTGTTTGAACAAAATACCGTGATTTGCAGTGGTGAGCAGATCAGTTATTCGCCTGAGATTAATAATTGATCTGCGAGACACTGACAAATCACGATATTTTGCGATAATCGAGTTCAATAATTGTTTTATCATTCAATCACCAAGTTTGTTTTCATATTTGAATCGTTCTCTTGCAGCTTAGGGAAGCGATCTGCCATTTTTCACCTGAGGGTGTGGTTACAGTTACGCGTGAGCAGAATATTATTTGCCGCAAAACACATTTAGCCGGTACTACGCATGAGCAGACCATTATTTGTAGGCAGTTATTTGTAGGTCACGTGGTGGGCTTTCGGCCAATGCAAAACGTTATTATTTTCCCAACAGTGTGTCCACACGCGATGGATCTCGTCTTTGCCCTGGACTCTTCCACTGACGTCGATGAAAATCAGTGGACTCAACAAAAAGACTTCATGAAGAAAGTTGCTGACGGTTTTAACATTCAGGACAGCGGAACGCACGCGGCCGTGGTGGCGTATTCCACGATACCTTCCATCAATATGAAACTTGGAGAACGAAATGTAAAACAAGAGGTTGATAAGGCCTTTAATGACCTGCCACGTGATCTTGGCAACAGAAATCTGGTAAGTTAGGACTCTGTGCTGGTAAATTTGTTGGGTGTGGTTTTCGTGTTTTCATTTTGTCTTTGAAGAAATACTTCAAATCAAACAAAACACCAGTATGACAAGTTACTCAAGCGCGCGAAATTGAACCGCATTTTTACACGTAAGGAAAATAACGCGACTCGCACTTTTCATATGGTTTTGGGTCTTTTGATGTTTGGGTACCAACTTGCTTTGTTCGTAAGATCAAATGGTTTTATGGTCAATTCTTAGGTCATTCTGTTGGAGATGGCTAAATTTGAGGTGTTCACCAAGTCCAGTGGTATGAGGACCCATATCCCTAAAGCCCTCGTGGTGACGGTCCTTGGACCTCAAAACGACCACAACACCAACGCTGCTAAGAGCCTGAGGTCCTTTGCCAAGCAACTTGAAATCAGTGGCGTAAAGGTGAGAAAAACAAAGGCAGAGTAATGAGTAGTATGGAGTTTGTAGGAGTAATCAATGTCAAATTCTGCTTGCAATCCCAATACACTGCTAAGGAGACAGGTAATGAGAATTTTGAAAGTCAGCAATGAGGGAATGTTACGACGCGCGTTAGCTACCAAAAGAGTGCTCTCGTTTAAGGCGAACCCTATGTTGATCGTTGTTGTTTTGACTTCTTTTTAGGTCATTGCTGTAGGAAGCCCTAGCATCGCTGAAAGTGATCTCAGAACCATGACCACTGAACCGAAATACGCCGTGCGAGTTAACGATTTACAGTCTCCGGCTGAAGCCGAGAAAGTTTCCAAAATTATCTGTAACGGTACGTATATTTTCTTTGCTGATAAGCTATGCTTTAATCGACTGATCGAAATTAAAACAAAAACGATGTCGCACACACTGACAATTCCAAGACAATCTTCCGTTTTTGTGAAGTTTACCATAGTTCAGCATCTCAGTTTAAATTTTTGATTTGGACACAGTGATAGATTACCATCCCTCCAAGAGGGGGATCTTGGTATCTGATGGATTAGTATCCCCTCCTAGCGGAGATCCGACTGTCCTTACTTGATGCTACATGACAAGGCGCCTACAATGACTAATTCCCGCTTGGTATTCAATGCCATTAACATCCGTTTATATGTTCCATTCCCAGTGGCTGCCGACTTCCCAACAACAGGCAAAGATCAGATGCAAGCTCCTTTTGCAGCATCACTTCCCACTGAACAGCCAGTGGTTCAAGTTGGAGCCCAGGCCACTACTCAGCCTTCCGTAGCTGCTACACTGCAAGCATATAATGCGGAGAAGAGATCAGGTACATGTGTGTGTTTTTTTAATATCCTACCACATGTAGCCTTGCATTTGAATCATTTCCCCCATCCCG